AATACCTGGGGTGGGGGGGGCAAACAGCTATGCATATCTCTCTATCAGTGTTATTGCGGGCGAACAATTTATGAGTTTACCCTGTATAAGCTTTATACAGAGTAAAACGGATTTATATGGGGTTTGCCCCCCCGTGCACATGCATTATGACACCATCCTTTAATTTTGTGATCACATACTAATTTTACCTTCATGGGTCATCAGCAATGTTTGAACCCAGAATGTAAGAAATAACGGATTGAGGTGGGATCTGCATGGAAATGGTGGTCAGTCAAAGATTGAAGACCATACCCCGTGGTCTCCTGGCTCCGAGCCCGCTGCACCTTCCCCAAGACTGCAGGGTACATGGAGGGAGAGCTGTCCCTCCTCCCCACAGAGACACGAACAAGCTCTGAGCTGCATGAAGCTTGGCCAGGGCTGACAGTCCCAGGGTTGGGTTTTGCAGGGACCTCAGCTTACTTTGACCGCAGTAGATTTCGCCTGCAGACTAGAGACAAGGTGTGATGGATGCAGGCAGACATGAGACACTGTGGACTTCCTGTAGCTGGAGCCACGAGCTGTGTTCCTTATTTGGGGCTCGATGGAGCTGGTCTTCGGGGCGTTGGTGTTAGCGCTCAGGGCCCAATCATGGTAGCTGCAATCACCGTCCTCTTCCTCAGTGAGTATCAGAGAAAACCAGGGCATGTGCCCATGGAGGGGCATGTGAGACCAGGACATGAGGCCATGGGGGTGGGGGGTTGCAAAGCTGTCTGCTTACTTTGAGTGCAGTAGATTACACGTGCAGATTAGAGACAAGGTGTGATGGACACAGGAAGAGACGAGACATCGTCAACTTCCCGTAGCTGGAGCCACCGGCTTAGTTACTTATTTGGGGCTCGGTGGAGCTGGACACCGGGTGTTGGTGGCAGTGCTGATGGGCCCCTCCCTGCCCCTGTCATGGCACCTGCTCTCACTGTCCTCCTCCTTGGTGAGTATCAGAGAAAGTCAGGGCGTGTGCCCATGGGGAGAGGGATCTGAGACCAAGCCGTGTGCCCACGGGGAGATGTGAGACCAGGGCATGTGCCCATGAGAGGGGATCTGAGACCAGGGCGTGTGTCCATGGCAGGGGGGTGGGGATGTGAGACCAGGGTGTAGGATCCAGTTGCTTTGGTATCTGGTCACTAACAAGCCGTCTCCTCTCCAGGCTGCTGGCTGGCCGGGCACAGCGGGGCGTGGGGAGGTGAGTATCAGTCTGTGGGGAGGACTGTAACATCAGGGAAGGGGGAGGGGATATATGGTGTGGGGAAAAGAGGAACTGAGCCCTGAACCTTCCCCAAAACTCAACCCAAACTCCCCTGTGAGCTCAGACCCATCCCCGTTCTTCTGTGCCCTCCTACCCCCCACCAGGGAGTAAGTAGGAGCCGAATCTGGCTCCTGGGGTCTGACAAAGCAAACAGGAACCATCCCCTGGTTCAATGTCCTGCCCCTCCCCCCCCCTCCAGGCTGTGAGTAACGGGGCGGGGGGAGTCATCATGTGGATTTATTTCAGCTCATACAAACGCAAAAAGCACCTGTCCGTGGGCTCTAGATCCCCTCGGGGAACCGAAACCTTCATGGGCAGCCATGGGCAGAACCCCCCAGATCTGCCCCCAGATCTACCCCAACAGCTCCCTCCCCTGCACTCACAGCCCCCACATTCCCAAGGCCTGGGGAAAGGTGGGTCTTTGTGTCACTCCTGCCGGTCACAGACTCTATTTCCCACCCCAGGGTGGGGTACTGAGCTGCAGGGGGCCCACTGGTCAGGCTCCCTGGCTGGCCTCAGGTGGGGCCGGGGGGGGGGGGGCAGGTGATCTCTCATGCAGCCGAGTCCTGAGCTACGTCTGGGTCAACCCCCTGACCCCAAACCCCATGGGCCGCAGTGTCAGCCCTGGTAGGGGACAGACTCCTAGAGGCCGAATGACGGATGGACTGAATTGGGGTGGGGGGCAGGGGGCTGTGTCTCCCCTGTTTAACTCCTGTCTCTTGTTGAAAGCAGGATGTGAATTTCTCAAACCCACCGTCTGGGTGAGCCCCAGCAGGGTGGTGGTGCTCGGGGGAAGCGTCACCATCCGCTGTGAGGGTTTGTACCGATCTATGGAGTTCTTTCTGCGTAAAGCTGGACACCCGAACCTGCAGGTGCAGTCGGTGCCTGATGGGACCGTGGCTGAATTTCCCATCGCCAGTGTTGGCCGGGAGGATGGAGGGAGCTACACCTGTGACTATCGCTCCATAACGCAACAGAATCGCTGGTCGTATCTCAGCGACCCCGTCGAGATCCTTGCAGCAGGTGTGGGGCCCGGCTCAGCGTCCCAGCTCCCAGCCCCACACCCAGCTGGACACTCAGGGGGCCTCTGCACCAATGGGATGCTCAGAGCCAGGCTCTGCCCTGAGCCCTGACCCCACAGAGGGGACGCCCGGCCAGGGAGCGGGGATGGAGTCACTTGGGGGTTCCCCAGCCAGTGGGGAGCAGCAGCCCCTGGAGACTCGGGGCAAGGAGGCTACTTTAATGCTGCCCCTTGTGCATGGGAACTGTGACTTTCTATTTAATCCCGTGATCCCATCCCCTCTATTCTCCAGGCCCCACCCCAGGCAGTGCCTGAGCCAGTGCTGAATGAGGCAGTGGATACAGGAGAAGCAGTGGCTTGGTGAACACGGCACTGGGCTGGGATTCAGGAGATCTGGCCTAGCTCCCAGCATGGCCACAGACTCTGTGCGATGGGAGAACGTTGCAGTTTCCAAAAGTGCCCTTCGTTGTGGGGGGGCCTCAATCTTGAGTGATCTCAGGCCAAGCGCCCACAAACCGAGACGCCCACAGTTAGTGGAGACCTCTGTATATGCTGACCTCAATAGAGCGGGATCCCTTGTATTGGGGGAGCATGTAGGGCCCCCACCATGATCAGGGCCCCTCTGTGCCAGGCACTGCAGAAACACAGAGTGAAGAGACAGTCCCTGCCACTGAGAGCTCACTAAGGAAAGTGAATCTGTCTGTGCCTCAGTTTCCCCCCATGCAGAATGGTGATAAAGATGCCTCACTGCTTCCTGGGAGTCTGACTCCCTTCCTGTGTTGGGCTCAGGCTCTGCGGTGCCGGGCTCCAGAGACTAACCCGTGAGTCACTCTGTGCTTGGCAGGTCCTGAGGCAGTGAATGAGGCAGGGGCCACACACGGCACATGAGGACCCCAAGAACCAGGCAGCCAGGGCTCGGTGTCTGTGGGGCTGGGAGCCCAGCTCTCAGGGCCGGGATTCTGGGTCGGGGAACTCTGGGATCTGGAAGAGAATCTCTGCCAGGGGGCCCCTGGATCCAGAGCTGGCGCCAGGCACCAGCTGAG